CTTCCCTGCCACACCCAATGGCCAATAACAATGTCTATCAACCGGCAGCCATATTGGATTTTTGCTAAAATTTGAAAAACCGTTAAAAACACAGCATTATCTCTATGTACAGTTTGATATGGATAAATAAAAGTCATTTAAACACTTTCTGGCTCATTGTCTGATATACAGATTGATACTCAGTGTGAAAAACTCTAAAACATGGGGCAGGACAAAGACCAGGGTGGTTGTTACATTGTCCACATTGATATCGTGTCTCTTTTCTTCGTCCTTGCTTGAAAAAAATTTGGCATCTCTTCTTAGGAGTCTGCTTATTGGGTGTTGGGGGATCAATTCAGGAAAATGTCGCCCTGAATAGCGATCATTAGCATCTGGTGCAACAAGTTCAGTTGATGATACAGCAAATAAGGCAGAAATGCAATCCAACTTGAACTTGAGCAATGGCTTGTTTCCTCCAGACTTCTTGTACAGGAGGTGTGCATTTAGTACCCCTTCCTCTATGAAATGAAATGAAATGCTAGTTTCTTTGTCCAGTTCATGCTCTTTCTCACACTGCAGTAGGTGCCAATCAACTCGTCATTGCGATCCACACCCCCCATGTATTTATTATAGTCATTGACCAACTGCAATTTTCTCACATTATTCCCATGCCTGTCTCTCTTCCCAGTGTCTACTACATTTGCTTTATGCATTGTGGACAAGAAATAAATCTCTTTCTTGTCATTCAGTCGCACAGCCAGCATGTCATCTTTCCTTCTGAAAGCGTGCTCTCCTTTTGCTAGTGGAGGTGTCTTGAGGGAAGCTGGTAACTTTAGCCTATTCTTCCTAGCAGTTCCACAGGCTGCAGTGTCATTGTCATAAAGGTAGGAAAACAGTTCTTCACTTGTGTACCAGTTATCAACAAAGAGTTTGTAGCCTTTCCCTAGAGGGCCTTCCATCTGTCGGGGGATAACAGCACCACTCCTACCAAGCCTATGTATTAGTTGCTGATCACCAGCTGCAGCATCTGGCTCTTTCCCAAGGTATACATATGAGTTCCAGAGGTAGCCTGTGGTTTCACAGAGGCTAAACATCTTGATGCCAAATCTTGCTCTCTTTAGTGGAATGTACTGCTTGAACACAAGCCTCCCTTTCCATAGCAGTAATTGCTCCTCCGGAATGTAAACACTCTTGAACTTTGACACCAGATATTCGACAACAGGCCTCACCTTGTATAATCTGTCATGCTTTGGATCATTTGCATCATATCTACTGTTATCTGCAAATGCAGAAACTGTAAGATTGATTGAAAACGATTTCTGGGCATCACACTGTTGAAAATTGAGCCTTTCAATAAAGGATTTGTGCTCCAGTAGTCCGATACTTCTGGTTTTCTCACAATCCCCATAAGAAGGACAAGTGCCAGGAATTTCTTCATCTCATTTCGGTTAGTTTCTTCCCACGAATTTGCACACGAATTTGGGGGTAAATTTGGATTCTCCCTCTTGTACTGAGCAGCATACAGGTTTGTTTGCTCAACCAATAAATCAAAAAACTCATTGGTAAGAAACAAAGTCAAATAATCACCTACACCAGCATTGTTTGGCAGCTGTACTTGTCAACCTGAGCGAGCAGTAAATGCAGGAATGCGTGATTGCCGATCATTTGAAGTCCACTGCAGTTCTAACGATGCGTCTTCCTGTTGTTGGTTTCTTCTAGCACTGCCTTCTGCAGCGCCATTGCGCTGCCGAGCCCGTCCATGAGCACGTCCACGTGCAGGTCCGGGTGTATTCTCTTGATAGTCATTTTCGCTCAATTCATCGCTTTCATCACTTTCAGATGGCTGTGTGTTTTCTGGGAGATATTCCTCTGCGTAGCTTTCAGCAGAACTTCTCCCACCATCAAAATCTGAGTCCGGATGGGCAAATATTTCGGCTAGAGCTTCTTCACTTGTATAGCTACGATGAGATGCCATTTTGTTTTAGCTTGAAGCACACTGAAGCATTTTGGGCACTGAACCCCTGGTAGAACAGTCAGCGGTTTTTTATATGAGTGGAAGACGCTTCATGACTACCATAATAAAGTTTCTCTCCATTTTCTGAATGACCGAGCAGTGATAGAAATCTTTTATTTCAGGACGTATATCTATGTCTGGGGTCGTTTAGGTCACGCAACTTATGACGTATATATACGTCAGTGGCAGGGAAGGGGTTAAGATTTCGGCACAACCGGCACAAGACCAAGCCGGAAGAACATGCAACTGCAGGAAGAAGGAC